TATATATATATATATATATATATATATATATATATATATATATATATATATATATATATATATATATATATATATATATATATATATATATATATATATATATATATATATATATATATATATATATATATATATATATATATATATATATATATATATATATATATATATATATATATATATATATATATATATATATATATATATATATATATATATATATATATATATATATGATAATACAATTAAATTCAAGCAAAATATTGAAGAAGATAAAAATTACAACCTACAAAATTTCAAATAAATTTAAGTCATTTTTTGTTTCTCTTGATTTCTCCTCTTTAAAACATCTATTTAATACTTTTCCTAACATATACATTTGGCTGTAGTAATATTTTGGACTGTTATTGTTAGGGTACTTATTAATATCTCAAGGGTACGCAATAGTATCCAACAATTACAAATACTTACCTATTGAAAATTTTAAGTATTTTACACATTTGAGATACCAATATAGACCCTCAAATGTGTAAAGGTACCACCCCAATGACAGCTCTAGTGCTTTTATTTCTGAGAGTATATGTATATAATAAATGATCCCCCCTTTATGAAAATGATTTTTTTTTCTATTTTTTTGTGAATATAGGTAATGTATTCTGATGCGTTTGAACAAAACAGTATTATTAAAAAGATTTGTGTATTCAATTACTATTTTAGTCACCAAACATCTTTAGAAATAGAAAAAAAAAATACAATTCAAGCAAAATATTGAATAAAAAAATTACAATTTACAAAATTTCAACAAAATTTTAGACATTTTTTCTCTTGATTTTTCCTCTTTTAAAATTATTATTTAATATTGTTCTCTAACATACATTTGGGTGTACTAATTTTGGGCTGCTAAGTTATTTTGGTAGATTAGCTTCACATTTGGCTTCAGTATTGATTAAGCTAATGTGTATGCATAAATATATTATTGTATATTTATAATATATGTATGTGTGGGTGTATGTGTGTGCTTACATATACTGGGAATGTGTATTTAATAAAAACATATGTAAACATGTATTTTAGGGTTATTTCATTAACCAAATTATTATTTAATCAGCAAGAAACAAAGCTTTCAGAACATGGTTATGAGGTAAATTTATACAGACAAATATTCAAAACATTTTCTTGTTGAAAACAAAGCATTGAGTGCATTGGACCACATTCATTTTTAACAGTAAAAACTCTTAAAATCCTAAATAAACTCAGTAAAATGATTTTAAACTGGTTTTCAATTGTCATATTTCTAAATATGTCAAGGATGGAACAGCTATTCTGGATACAGATGTATATACTGTATATATAATCTGTGTATGTAGCCTAACCAATGCATCATGATTAGTTTTTTGTGAGTTTTCATTTCCAAACTATAATATACCCCTATGTTTTGACGTCAGACAAGACAAGTGCTTTACATAACGCATTTGAATGAACTAAACAGCTGCATTTTTTCCTCATTTCTCCTTCCCCATTTGCATGCATTTACTTGTCTGCTCTTTATTTGTGCATTACACATATCAGTACAATGTGACCGGCAGCCTTTTGTGTTTAATGTGATGATGGAGTTAAAGTCAGTTGCAATTTCCATATTTAAATCACAAAGAGAGGAGGCACGCATACACTTATCTTCATGAGCACTGTAAATAAACAAACCTTTGCTTGATGCAGTACATTATCAAGTGTCAAAAATAATACATTTATTAATAATGACGTCAAAACTGAAGCAGAAATGGCGTGATTTAATAACTAAAAGCTAAATATATGATCAGATTTGGATTTATCAGATATATTTGGCTTTATTTACACTGTAAATGCTTGTTTTTATTCAGTATAACTTCAATATCAAGCATAAAATAATGTATAATTTTAAAAAAACTGAATCAGAAACATCACAATAAATGCAAACTGAGGCAGAAATGGGGTGATCTAATAAATATATGCTAAATATATAATCAGATTTGGATTTTTCTGATATATTTGGCTTTATTTACACTATAAATGCTTGTTTTATTCAGTATAACTTCAATATCAAGCATAAAATACTGTATAATTTAATTTAGTGGTAAAAACTGAATCAGAAACATCACCATATATAGGCTAATAAATACAAACTGAGGCAGAAATGGCGTGATCTACTACCTATAAGCTAAATATATGATCAGATTTAGATTTTCTGGATATATTTGGCTTTATTTATACTGTAAATGCTTGTTTGATTTAATATAACTTCATTATCGTGCGTATAATAATGTACAATTTTTCATTTTGTAATAAAAAGTGAATCAGAAACATCATAATAAATGAAAACTGAGGCAGAAATGGCGTGATCTAATACATATATGCTAAATATATAATCAGATTTGGATTTTTCTGTTATATTTGGCTTTATTTACACTATAAATGCTTGTTTGATTCAGTATAACTTCAATATTAAACCTAAAATAGTGTTTTATTTTGCAGTAAAAACTGAATCAGAAACATCACCATAGGCTAATAAATGCAAACTGAGGCAGACATTGCATGATCTAATAAATATAAGTGAAATATATCATCAGATTTGGATTTATCAGATATATTTGGCTTTATTTATACTATAAATGCTTGTTTAATTCAATATAACTCCAGTATTAAGCGTAAAATAGTGTATACTTTTATTTTGCAATAAAAACCGAACCACAAACATCACCATAGAATAATTACAAACTAAAATGATTTAAATATAGCGTATATATCTTTTTATAGCTACATTACAACAAACAATAGTGGGTTATTTCGACCAAAATTGGATCAAATATAGACAAAGCCAAATGTTTGGTTATATTTAGTCATATAAATTGAATTTTAAAAACCTAGGGCGTAGTTTTGTAGCTACATTACAAGTAGCAATTCTGAGTTATTTCAATCGAAATTGGGTAAAATATGGACAAAACCAAATGTTGGGTTATATTTAGTCATATATAAGTTTAATTTTAAAAAACCCAGCGGTTGATTTTGTCCATTTTTCCTCAAAATTTAGTTGAAATAACTGAGCATGTTTAGCATTTATTGGTGCACAATGTAATATTTGATTGATTAGTGATCGACTATCAATCGTAAAATAACATCATAGTTTATATCAGCATGCCTAAATACAACAAAAACTGAATCAGCTTAAAAACTACAAGCCAAACCAATATAATAGTGTTCCAATTCATAAAACGAGACACTTCAAATATTAAAAAATACAATATTAATAAATAATTGAGACTATTTCCCATCCACATAACAGCTGTGTTGATAAAACAATTCTAAAATAATTTTTCACTCGCCTGCGCACTTACATCCTCTCTCTCTCTCTTTCTCTCTCACTCATCCCTCCCTCTTTCTCTCGCTCTTCCACATCTCCTCCCCCTTTCCCTCGACTCTGCATTTCTCATCAATGAAGCCTCATTTGAATAATGCGCGAGCACTTTGGACCGGAGCCAATCAGCTGTCAGAAGAGCATGATAAATCGCAATGCATTATTGATAATAATAATTACTTTGACATGCGCATTTCTACTCGAGGGGCTAATTTCCCCCAACCTGGAGAATTTCTAAAGGAGAGGGACTAAATAGTCTTACTATTCGCCCCTGATGGTTGTAGGTTACCATGTCGCGGCGCAAGCAGTCCAAACCACAGCATATCAATTCGGACGACCCCGCTTCGACAGAAAATGGTGAGTTTGGAGCGATTAAAACTAATGTAAACTTTGTTTATGTTTCTACCTTGGAGTGATCTAGGAATCTCGCGTGCTCCCTTTTACATCTGAATTATGTAATTGGGCATGAATGGGTTCGCGACTCTTAAAATGAGGCGCTTTTTGTGAATTCGAGAAGTTTTGTACGTACATTAAATTAATTTACTGAACAACTTTAACTACTTTAACGCATTTTTATTGAGTCAATTTAAATATAAAATGTAGTATGTTTTATTTTTGGGGGTTGTTTGTTTGTGTGTTGGTTGGTTGTTCAGCTAATCTAATGTTTACGAAATATTTATCGGCGTTTGCATCGAAGACTTGTTTTTATATTTGTTTTTTGGGTATTAATATCATCATTGTAGTTATATATGCATATCTATTCGATCAAATATAGTTTTTCCAAATCATAAACGTGAACCAAATTCTCAATGCACGTTTTAGGCTTGTTTGACTGGCTGATGAATGTACACGTAAGTTATATTCCAGACTAACTAAGCACATGTGTTAATATTTGATGTGGCGTACTGGTATCACTGACCACTGTTAAACAAAGGTGCTCAACAGGTCGGCATGAAATGTGAGTCGCGAACAAGCTTGACCACAAAGCAATAAATCCCCCACAGTTTCTTTTGGTCGCATATGGAGATGTGGATGGGGGGATGGAGATGAAGTTGTGTGCAACGGGGGGGTGTAAATGTAAACTGCGCGACTTTTTATACTGGACGTAGTGAATTTTGACTGTTCTTAATGTAAATAATGTACTGGTTGAGGTTATTTTGCGTGTTATGCACTGCGAGTTGGGGGTTGGTTGTGTGTCAGGTCTGGTTGATTTAAAATCAGTTCAGTTGCGTTAGAATATTGCATGGAATTAAAGCACAATCAGAACAACGCTGTAAAGGTATCAGCAAAGAAACATGTTATATTTATGTGCATTGATCAGACGCCCTCTTGCGGTGAGCAGATGCACATGCACTGGTTAAAATCATCCGTCCAATTGTGTAACTTTAAAACGCATGGTTTGAAACTATTTCTGACAGATTTAGTTTTTTAAAAAGTAAGTTTTTTTCTTAATCTTTGCATTTGAGCACTTTTTTCCAGTTTTTAAAATAATTAATTATTTTTCCAAAATGGTTTCTCAAATTGAGTGCTTTTTATGCCCTGGCTCCCAGAAACAATGCAAATTGTTTTTCTTTACTATTCAAATTGTATAGTGAACAATTCGCACGTTCGGTTTCTCTGTCAGATTGTTAACAGGTGGTCTTTCCCATTCATGAGAGATGATGAAATTTGCATTTAACAATGGCCCTATTAAAAGGTCCTCCCTGATGGTGCTGCAGAGCTTAATTTTGATTTGCCTTTGATTTTTCTGCAATTTCAATGACAGATTGGATCCTTTTGCTCTGTTATCAGCATTTTTGTAATTCATCATATGGACTGCTTAACACTTGTATGCAAAGTTTAAATAGACATCAGTGAAGCAAGTGATTTGTTTTTAAGAACATATCTATTTTATTTGAATTTAGAAGAATGATTTGGAGGGGAGAAACTTATGTTTTGTGTGCAAATTAATGTCTTTGTGTGTAATCTATTTATTTTTTGCACATATTGTAAATGCTGCCCTCATCTGGCGGGATCGAGTAGTTTAAGTTGTAAATTTAGTTTTTTTTTTAATGACAATACTTAAACATTAAAACTTCCAAAAAGCCTCTGCATGATTTCATAATATACATGCGTTCCAACTACAGTTAGATTTCCTCTGCTTCTTTTTAATTGGCATTTTTAATGGATAATTTGCACCAAAATACAAATATTGCAACAGTTCATAGTTTTGACATTTTTTCCATCTGCTTTATACAAAAGATATTTAATAAAGTTGGAAACCATGTTGTTGACCAAAGCTATTGACCAGTACAGTAGGAAAATATACTTTTGTAAATCAAACTTTAAACTCCTTGGTTGCAAAAATTGTTTAAAACAAAATTGTTTAAAAAAAGAAAGAGACAGTTTTGGAACAAGTGTAGAGTAAGAACATGACTTTTTAAAATAACTCTTTAAAATAACCTCACATTATTATGCAATGTCTTCTAAAGGAATAGTTCACACAGAAAAAAATCTGTTATTTAATCAGCCTTTACTTGTTCAAAACCTGAGTTCCTTTCTCCTGTTGAACAGAAAATAAGATATTTTGAATAATGATGGTAGCTTACACCCATTGACTCCCATAGTAAGATAAAATAACTGTAAAAGTCTGTGCCAGCAAAATATAATCTTTTGTGAAAACTGAAGCAAAAACAAACTTTTCAAACCACATAAGGGACAGCAAATGATGAGGTAATTTATTTTTTTATTTTTTGGTGAACAATCTCTTGAAATGCTAGATATTGATGTAGTATTTGGGAGAGCAATTCCATGCAATTGTCAACCTTGCCGTGAAAATAAATTACATTTTTGCCAAAATAACGAAATATTTTTGTGTAAGCAAATATTTAAGTGCTTTAAAAATACTAAAAACGTCTCTGTTAATGTTTTCAAATTAATGTTTGATTTACTAAAATCACACAAGTGGCAATTTAAATTTTTTGCTCTATAGTGAGCCAACTCGTATCCTTTTGATTAGCATTATTTAGTTTGGGTTGTGCAGTTTAAATTACAGAATGACTACAAAGTATGTTGTAACTTTTTTTTTTTTTTTTCCCTTCACATCCATAACACGTTTATTTTCCCGTTTAAAATAAAAAAAAAACATTTACAGATTGATATTTTTCTGCTCCCACAACTCTGTGATTAGTTGTTTAATATTATAATAGTATAATGTCAACACATACTTTCTCTGTGAATTTATGTTTTGAGATTTTACTGCAAATGTCGCATTCATAATGCTGGAATAGCTCTAGAATAAATTTTCCTTGTTTAAAGATTTTAAAAAAAGTAATTTTGATCTTGAACAAGGTCATCTTGTGAACTTTTTCTCCTTTTTTTCCCCTCTGCAGGGATCTTGCACAATAGTCAAAGTGAAGAGGATGGCAGTGATGCTAAGAGGCGACGATCGGAGGAGACAAGGGTTTGCGAAAAATGTTGCGCAGAGTTCTTCGATGAGGCAGAGTTTCTTGAACATGAGAGAAATTGCACTAAAAGTCAGCAGGTAGTGATCATGAAAGATGGCGATGGGAGCGAGGTGCCCCCTGAGTTCTCGCAGCGTTCTCCGGGAGATGTCTTGAGTGATCCTTGTGATCAGTCTACCAATTCATATTCAAAGCACGGTGCAGAGTCAGATGAAATGATGGAAGGAGAGTTCATGTTGAACCAGGATAACCCCTCAAATCACGATCAAGAGGTGTCTGGCAGTCCAGGGTACGTGGCATCCAGCAAATTGCAAGACTCTAATGTGACACTCGAGTCCATGGCTGCTACCAAAGTTGCTGTAACACAACACTCATCCAATTCGTCTAGTCAAAAATCTCCACCCCCACAACCACACCAAGACACACTTCTTGCAATCCCTATGATCCTGGAACAGCTGGTCAGTCTCCAGCAACAGCAACTGCAGCAGATCCAGCTAACTGAGCAGATACGCATCCAAGTGGCCATGATGGCACCTCCGAGTCTGCATGCAGCAGTGGGTGCTGTAATGGATCCACTCAAAGCGCTGGGTGCACATTTATCGCAGCAGCTCTCTGCTGCAGCCGCCCTCATTGGCAAACGGACAGGCTCCCAGTCTTTGTCCTTGGAAGCATTGAAACAAGCAAAACTACCTCAATCCGCTACTATCCCCACATCCCTTCCTGGAGGTTTGGGATCAATTCCCTTAAAACCGGACTTGAAAGGACTCCCTGATTTAGCCAGCCGACTTCCAGCGCTGCTTCCACAATCTCCAGGGGTCATAGGATTACAGAGTCCCTTTAATAACCTTGCAACAAGCATGGACCCCTCCAAAAAGGCAAAAACTAAGGGCCCTGTAGTCTCGGAGCCTCCAAAAAATGTCTCTGTTGAACACTCGTTCAAGCACAAATGCAAGTTCTGTGGTAAAACATTTGGAAATGACAGCGCTCTACAAATCCACTTGCGCTCGCACACTGGCGAAAGGCCCTTTAAATGTAACATCTGTGGAAACCGTTTCACAACTAAAGGAAACCTCAAAGTACATTTTCAGAGACACAAAGAAAAATATCCACACATCAAGATGAATCCACATCCGGTACCTGAACACCTGGACAACATGCCTTCAAACAATGGTATCCCTTATGGCATGTCTGTGCCCATGGAGGAAAATGGTTTTAGTGAAACCAAACCTGTTTTGGGAGTTCCCACAACAGGTCCCCCGGCAGGTCCCCATCCGCCAGTGCTCCAGGCATTCAAGCCCTCATTTGATATTCCAGCTGCTGGAGACCCCTACTCCCAGAGACCTTCTTCATCAGGCAGTGATGGTGCATCGATTTCTTCTGGCATGTTCGGTCAAGATATAGCAGGATCGGATCAAAGCAAAGATTCCCCTGATGCAATGGTTGGATTGCACCATATAAACGGTAACAGCCTAACTGGAGAAAATGGCTCTGGTACCGCAAAGCTTCAGCAAATGGTGGACTGCTTGGAGAAGAGGACAAATGACCCCAATGAATGTGTTATATGCCACAGAGTGCTGAGCTGCCAAAGTTCCCTCAAAATGCATTACCGCACACACACTGGCGAGCGACCGTACAAATGCAAAATCTGTGGCAGGGCCTTCTCCACCAAAGGCAACCTTAAAGCTCATTATGGTGTTCACAGGGCCAACACTCCTCTGAAGATGCAACACTCTTGCCCAATTTGCCATAAGAAGTTCACCAACGCAGTTGTTCTCCAGCAGCATATTCGTATGCACATGGGCGGCCAGATTCCAAACACCCCACTTCCAGAAAATCAGTTCGAAAGTCCTGAGGCACTGGATTCTAGCATGACCGAGGATAAGACCATTGACTCCAATGGGCATGAGGAGAGTATGGAGGAACAAGACTTTGAATTGGACAATCAGGAGAAGCTGAACTATTCTACAGAGCCCCAGCCTGTCACTAAAGACGATCAGACATTCCCAGGTCAACCATCAATGTTTACAGGCATCACTGCCCTGGAGAACCACATGAAGAACCTTACCTCTGCACTGAACCTGCAACGACAAAGCAGCACTGCTTCTGAGAGTGACAGTGGGCTGAAAGATTCCCCTTTGGGGTCTGGAGAAGTGGACTACAAGAATGACCGCAGTCCAGTTGTGTCCGATTCGGTGTCCTTCCACTCTTTGTCCCCTATAGATGGTCCCCCGAGTAATGGTCCGTCAAAATCACCAGAATCCACAAACCTAGATGATTCTGTTAAATCCAGACCAGACACTGATGCACCTCAAGATTTTAGCGAAAACAATGGAGCCCTGGACTTGACGTCAAGTTTTACTTCTAAACCAATCAAAGAGGAGCCAGGCTTGTCCTTTGCCAGTGGTGAATATGGTAAGCTACATTTACTAAAGTATTCTCATTGTGGTACTTTCCTGTTAATGCATTGCAGAAGTGATCAATACATTTCCTTTTATTTTAGGTTCTTCTCAATTACCTTTCATGAGGGTGCCTCCGAGTTTGGTCAAGCTGGAGATGCAGATTCCTCCGGAGACTCCTATGGGTGCCCACGGCCTGTACAGCTCCCAGCTGCCTCAAGGTGCTGCCACTCCTCCTGCTTCTTCTAGTGCTCCTCGTAGGTCCACCAAGCAACATCTCTGCAACATGTGTGGGAAGAACTTTTCATCTGCCAGTGCCCTGCAGATACATGAACGTACACACACCGGCGAGAAGCCGTTTGCTTGTTCAATTTGTGGCAGGGCTTTTACGACAAAGGGAAACCTTAAGGTAATTCCATTTTTGATTCTGCTTTGGACTTGTTAAATTACCTAAATAAAAATGAACTGCTTTGCATCTACCACAGTAAATCTTACAGATCCTTGTTTTATTTTACAGGTACATGTTGGGACTCATATGTGGAATAATACAGCAAGGAGAGGTCAACGCCTGTCATTGGATAACCCAATGGCTTTGATGGCCATGGGCAACGAGTCGAAGATGATGCCAGACATGCTGCCGCCCCCAAAGGATTTGATTCCCCCACCCATTAATTTTGACCCATCAATGTGGAACCAGTATGCTGCTGCTTTCACAAACGGGCTGACCATGAAGACCAATGAAATTTCAGTCATCCAAAATGGTGGCATCCCTCTCCCAGGAAGTCTGGGAGGTCCTTTAGTGGGCTCTACTGGGGGAATAACCAAGATGGAGTCATCTCAGATGGGCATCCCTGGCACAGTTGCAGAAATGGAAAAGAATGGCTCTGAAAGCATAGCAAAGTTTCCACATTTCATGGAGGAGGGTAAAGTGAATTAAAAAGTGAAAAGACTTCCCAGTTGTTCCCAAACCAACGGTTCATGTTGTGCTGATTGGCTTACAAGCCTGTTGGAATGTTAGGAACTGGACTATTTATTAATTCGGTCCTTAGTTGGTACAATCAAGTCATACATGTAACATTGCTTTTAAGAACTTTTGCAAATACCCTTGTTAAATGAGCCTACACCCTAAAACGGGCTACGCCTTCCTCTTAGGACTCTTACATGCTAGCAGTTGCTTCTAGTTGAATCTGATCTAACTACTGTAGTCCTTTTTCTTTCTCTCTAATATATGCGGGTATTTTGTCTGTTATGTTTCTAGAAGTTGAATGTAAGTCTTACTTGAAATAGCTTTATTCCAGAGCAGTCTCATTAGTGATCGGACACTCTTTTTGCGAGTTGCATTGGGCTCCGCTCTATGACCCTCAGGAGGATCTCAGCCACAGGTGACCTGAGATCTCAATGTTTTAAAAGTTAACATCGTGTTCATCTCTACTCGACTACTCATGGTTCTTTTTGTTGGTAGGTCATTATTCGCAGTTACATCTGTGGCATTGATGCCAGACAAAGGTATTTGTGGAATATGTGCGTTGAAGAACGAATCGACCGTTCCACACAATCTACTGAAGGCTACGGTTTCATTGATGAACATAGTGAGTAGTTCTAGTATAGATGTTTGTTTTGAAACTGGATTTCAATTTCACTAAGTTATTAAGAGTTTTTCGACTGTCAATATAGTTTCTTTCTGCGCTTAATACCAAAAATTATTTCGCTAAGTGCCTGTCTTGGAGTGCTTTTTTGTTTTATTTTTTCTCTTGTTCTCCTTAATTTTTCCTTGGCCTCGCCAAGGATACCACAAGATTGTATCAAAGGCCTTTTTGGATTTCATATTTTATCAAGACCAAAATATGCTATATTTTTGCATTTAGCTATAGCTTTTTCATTAAGTAATTTGGGAGTTTCCATGCTTTCAGTGGTCCATTTCAAATATTAGATTGTTGCTTTCATTTAAGACCTTTGATAGGAGTTCAAAAGGCCAGTTTAATGCTGAAATGCCTAATCATTCCTTGCACTTTATTTTTCCTCATTCTGCTAAGATCTAGACCAGGCTCATGCCATTTGTTTTCTTTTATGAACCTTTGTTTGACTCCTCATTTGCTTGCTCTACAGTTTTAGGACCCACTGAGTTTTAGAAATCTGTAAATTTACCATGCTTTTTATAATTATGAGCTAAGCAGGCATGTACATCTGGTCCCAAAAGGAGTAAGTAGTCATTCTTTTTCTGGGAAAAAGTCATGGTTTACTACCCAAATGTGTATTGATTGTTGTGGGAACATGTTTTCGAGATCGTAGCCATGCGTTCTTTCTTTAGTAAGAGGAATGAACTTTTTCTGTATGCACGCAGAGTATCTAAACCGTAAAACTTTACGCTGGTCAAATTTCTACCTCATTTAGATGTCTGTCTTTTTTTTTTTTTTTTTTTTTTTTTTTTTTTTTTTTTTTTTTTTGGCATTGTGTTTGGAGTTATGGTTGCATTTGTGCTCCTATAACCTGCTGATTTCTGTAATATAATGAATGTATCGCCAGACACTTTGCACAACACTTGTTCAGAATAGGCAGACTCCTCCTGTACATTCTCTTTCAAATATGCATTTACCAAGTTGTGCCTTTTTCCCTAGATGTTAAAAAAAAAGGTGGTGTCAGATCTTGGTTAAATGGGGTCATGTCTGTATGATTGTTCAAATATTGAGTCTGTTTTAGGCTTGTTTACAGTGTAGACTTTTTGTAAATGTTGCTTTTTTGTTTGTTCCCCTTCCGTTCTGATATTTTGAGAATAAAACCAAGGATGACTTTTCCAAAACTTTTGCTTTTGTGCCTAAGTTGTCATTTAATGTTACTGGAACCAAACATGTAAGTACTACAAGAGGAGAAGTGGGGGAGGTATAAATGGATTGCTGAAATGCATTTTAGTACTACTGTCATTTAAGGCGAGTTGGTAATTTGTTTTGCAACGAGTCTTCGTTAAAAATGGTTCTTTAAAGATGAGATTTTGATTACTTTACAAAAAAGTACTTTTAATGGAATCATTTTAATGTGGAATTAAGTTTCATTTATTGATTTATTTACAAATCGAATGCATATTTAAATGTTATGTACATTACCGGTATACAATGTTGCATTATTTTAACATGTGCTATTGTTATAACTTATTTTAACTTGGTGATTTGAATCTTATAAATGACACTAAAGGTAAATTTTATTTATTTTTAAATGCACTGTAAAACCCAAAAAAGTTAGGGTAACTTGAATCATTTGAGAACCTGTTATAACAAACCATTTAAGTTTGAAAAACTAATCCTAATGAGTACTGTCAACTTAATCCATTCCATTCGAGTAAATGAAGCATTTTGAGCACAGTAAAACCAAATAAACAAAGAACATAAACCAACTGAGTACTGTAAAGCCCAACAAGTTGATGCAACTAAAGTGGTTCGTAGCAATCAGTTTCCTCAAATGGTTTGAGTTAAACTAATGTACATGAGTACTGTGAACTTGCTCCGTTTAAGTTGAAGTAATGAGGTATTTAATTAACTCATTATTTTCAACAGTTTAAAACTCTTTTCAAATGAGTAAAATTAATGTTGTTTTTTTTATTTTGTTTTTGGAAACTACACTCTTCCTTTGATAAAGTTGACTGTTGGGTTTTACAGTGTATTAAATCAGTAGTTATTTTAAACCATAATATTGCAGTGTTATTGTCTATAGACATTGTATACTGTAAAAAAATATATAAATTGGTATGAATTGCATTAAGAAGGTAATCTAATAGAATATTTTACAAAATACTACATGTTTGGCAATCTGATTAATTTTGGATTATTCATGATGTCAATCAAATATCAAATGAGAGAATTGTACTTTTAATATGAAAATACAGAAAGAGATCCAGAAATAAATAGAGTATATATAGGAAATAAAAGAAATTATAAATCATTTTAGCTACATGAACATTTATTGACTGCTGGCTTTGTGCAATTCTACAAAAATTGAGGTATAAAAGTGCTCAAAATTGAAAAGGTATTCAGGAAAATTACAAAATAAAAACATGTTGTAAATAATTGAATCATACAATTTTGTAAAAACTGAAAAGTAACCTAATTAAATATTAATTTAATCTAATTGCAATTATTTATTTATTTATTTTAATCTTATTACATGCAATTAGTTACTGCCAATGCTTTAAAGACCTTTCTGTAAACCAGAAATGCCCAAACGTTACCACAACCATGGTAACTTTTGATTTAGGCCACCATCCTATCTGAGAATGCTTTAGAGATTTTAAATTCAATGTAACTTTTTATTTGTTTGTTTTATTAAGCTACAACTTTTTTTTTTCATTTTAAATTATGTAAATTAATCACGTTTAGTTTAAAATACTTAACACAGACCGAGGACAATGCAGAGACTTTGGTGAGCGAATCAAGGTAAAAGCAGATTCTGCTTGACTAGTGTATTCAGCATTGAACTTCGCTGTGTTATCAATGTGATTGTTTATGTTATTGCAATAAGTTATCATTTAAAAAGTTATTCCACGATAGTTAATAGTTCAAATTGATGCTTTCTATTTATCTTTTAATATTATTAAATGAATTGGGAAATTACTCATGGCAAATTTAATATAAAATAGTTTGGAATATTTATCTTTGGTCCATGGCTATCAATGATATTTGATTTTAGGCCCTTTATACGTGCAAAGTTTGGGCACCGCTGTTTTAAACAATGCTTTGTTCCACACAATAAGTTATCTAATTGTTTTTCCACAAATTTGAGTGGACTGAACATAAAACAATTAAGTTTTCAAAAAATTCAAGAATCGTAATTTTTTGAGTGTTCATTGGCGTAAAGTTGGTTTTATATTCACATATTTGAACTTACTCCTAAACCTAATATAATTTCAGAAAACTATTCTTTGCAAGTTCTAAATATTGAAATCATATTAGCAGCTAATGACTCAGAAGATTGTTCACACAGCCAGTTGCTAATATTGTTTTGAAGTCATATATGTGACACATTTAATGCCAAATATTCGACGTAGCGTGTCTAGAAATTGCCACTGTTAAAAAAAATAAAGAATTGTGCGAATATAAAACCAACTTTACGCAAATCATTTTAAATAAGTAGTTTAAACAAACAGCAAACGTGTATGTGTTTGTGTTAAAATAAAGTATAAACATATTTTATACTAACAAATATGTCTGAAACATCATATTAAGCGACTAGTATGATTAAGTATATGTTAGTCTGCCATTCAACACAAAAACAGTAAATTATAGCTTAATTATAACGCAAAAAAAGCCTAATGACAGATAATAATCAGCAAATAGCCATGTACGCTGATCTGGTTGAGTCCCAGCATGTTGAATGAGCGAGCAGCCCAACCCACGAGCCTCCGCCCAGAGCTGCTCCATTGCGGACAACAATGACCGACAACATTCCGCTGCAGCCCGTCCGACACAAAAAACGACATGACAACAAACGCAGAGACGGGTAAGACCACGAAAATGAATGGTGAATGAACTTAAAGTCGCGTCAGCTTGAAAATGGAGGCTTGTTTATGAACGGTACATGACAGATAGCATGAAGGCTAACAGCCCCGCGACCCTTTACCCGCGAAATTACGTCGATAGCGACATTATTTGGTGATATTACACTGATTAGCTCTGTTGTTTTTGTTTATCATTTAACATTCGTCATTACTATGTCGTCTTAGCGACTGTAGAGTGTTTAAATTTATGTATAACGCTGGAAGAGGCAAGTGCACATCCTTGTTCCGGGGACGCAGGTGAATTGTTGTCAAAGGATGTGTGTGTCACAGTGTTTCAATAAAACGAAGTATTTCGTTTTTATATTATTATATTTTTGACTACATATTTCTTTTCTTTCAAGATATTTTGTTAGGATGGTCGACACCCTCTTTAAGCTATGACAATGCTTAGCAATTTATAATGGCCCTTACAAATAAATCACCATGGTAACCACAGTTTCTGTCAAAATGCCATATTCGCAATTGTTATTATGATGCTACTGTATGACTGTGGTGACTAGCATTACGATCATATCATATTATATCATCAATGGTGTAAAGTAAATAATTACAAATAATCAATTTACTGTAATTGAGCAATTTTTCTCAGGAATTGTAATGTACGGAGTAGTTTTAAAAATGTGTACTTTTACTTACCCTTGAGTACATTTTTAGTGCAGTAACGTTATATCGGTACTTTTACTCCACTACTTTCCTTCCCCTGCTGAAAAAAGGATGGTTGGCTGGTTTTAGCTGGTCGACCAGCCTGGTTTTAAAGGGGTTTTGGCCTCTTCCAGGCTGGTTTCCAGCCTTTTCCAGGCTGGGAGCCCAGCTATGACCAGCTTAAACCAGGATGACCAGCTTAGCAGGGTCATCTTGCAGTCACTAGCCTGCTTTATTTTTTCATGTCTATGGGGGTTAGAAAGTTCAGTCCTGCGAGTCCAATCAAATCACACATAAAGAGTAAATCGCATCATAATGAACTACCTCAAGACATGGGTGATTTATAATCGCAGCAAACTGTTTGGAAGTATTTAAAGTGTCCAAGAAGATGTCCAAAGTCTTTACATGCATTGACCCAGAGACTGTTTAGATGCATGTCATTGGTGACAAGATGACGGATGTTTACTGTATGATGACTGAAATGGCCTTAAACACGTAGCAGGCACAAGTTGTCAACATGACGCCAGATTGAAAAGTAGGTCGAGGTCAGAACTCAATGTCAGGCCAACGTCAATGTCCAACTTCCAACCTAAAACCAACCAAATATCAACGTCTAATGATGTAACAGCTTGACGTTGTGTGGACATTACCACTATTGACATTTATCAGATGTTGAATTTTGGTTGCCATACCTGATGAATAAATGTCAGTATTAGACATCAGTATGATGTTGGTTTTAGATGTTGGGTTGAACGTGTATTTTGGTTACTTTCTAACAACCTAAAAGCGACCAAATATCAACGTCATTATTGGACTTTAAAATAACGTTGTCCTTAGATGGTCTTGAAATTTGGTCACCTAACGACACAACCTAAATCTAACCTATTATTAACATCTTATGATGTTGTGTGCGTGCTGGGCAATAGCTAAATGCACTACAGAATGTTACGTTTACACACATCTACAAATTTCATGTAAACGCATCAGCTTTTAACAGCGTAATACTCACGGCTCTTAAGTACTTTTAAAAGGGCTACTTTTAACATATACTTTGATTAATATTCACAATAGATACTTTTACTCTACTTGCACTACATTTTTAGGAAAGTAATGGTACTTTTACTTGTGTTTGATTTTTCAGTACTCTTTCCACCACTGTATATCATATAATACTTTATTTGCATATGTTCTTAAAACTATTCAGCTGTAACGTTACCATGTGAATACATTCCATATACACTGTGTAAACTTAAAATTTCATGTAGATAATATTAGGTTAGCAAAAGCGAAACTAGATGAAATGCTTCATTTTTATCAGATATTCACTTGCAGAAAGTGTAAAGATGCTTTGAAGCAAGTGGTGAACAAATGCCAAATTCCTCCATCAAAGACCTTTTATGAACGTTTACGTTTTAAATAAGTGGCAAGAGGAGTGGGATGCATTGGAAAAATAATACATTGCATGAAATCCAATCTGCAATCTCAAATAGATTTTTAAGACATTTTAGGACTAGATTTCATTAAGTGATTTTTTTTTTTACCAGATTGGGCATACAAGATTAACTCACGCCTTTTTACTTAAAAATGAAGTACCCACTCAATATTTTTACATTTTACTGGACTGTCCTGCTTTTAATGATTCCAAAAGACTGAAAAAATGAACTCTCTTAAGAACATTTTTAGCAAAGCGACACCAGAATTCTTTTTTTTTTTATCATGTATTATCACTAAAAATCTTATTTAACTTGTGTATTCATTTGTTTGTTGTTCTTATTATTATTAAATTGTTTATATAATATTGAAATGTTCTTGCCATGAAAATAGCCTTGGTTGCTGACATGGAAATGAAAAAAAAAACATACATCTTCATCTTGCAGAAAGTGTCAAAAAACAAAATAAAAGCTGATGATGGAAAGGAATCGGGCATTTAGCAATTGTATGCATATTTATTGATATTGCAATCGTCTAAAAACTTATCTAAACATACCTGAAAACATAGCATTTTTGGTAATTAAAATTATTCTAAATGATAACAAGATCTTTATTTAAAATTTAAAAAGAATTGTGAACAGAAC